TTACAAATTTCTACCTGTTACATATACACAATCACCAAAAACAAACAAATAACCAGCTTTAAATATAACAAATAAACCCCCATTTTTTTCAAAAATTTAAAAATAAATATAAATAATAATAATAATTTTTACCTATCATAATTTTACACTAACCCCACCACACGTATATACATACATGCGAGATATTTTTAAGCGTAAAAAAAAAAATACATAATATGACATGTATACAGTCACGAGACACTAACGTGACATTTCCGCCACACTTCCAGTGTTTAAATTTCAACATTTCGACATACAAATGCGTATGTATAGACATAACACCACCCGTATACATACATGTGTCATAGCCGAAACTGCCCACATACGTTTATATATGTATGAGTGCCGACGGACTACCAAGTATGTATATGTGTCTGCATATATCGATGTTTGCGTTAGTACGATGAATGACAAAACGACGAAATTTCCCCCACCACTTCCACAATAATACACGCAATCTACATAAACCCATTTTTTTTTAAAAACATTAATCAGTTTGTCTGACGATCGCTAAAGCGTGAAACCCAGGGTCACAAACTCACATCTATCCAACCAAATATATATATATATATATATATATATATATATATATATATGATAGTTGTATATTTAGGAAGCAATCCTTTGTTTATGGATGTTTCATTAAAAACGACAGACAACAAGAGCTTTCTTTTCTGGACAAAGTGTGTGTAAGAACTGTCCAAATATTTTATATTTCCGAGCGCTTTCGGCTATACCTTTAGTCATTATCAAGGATGATTCGATTTTTCAGCTTACTTGAGTATGTGCGTTCTGTGTATGTCTTAGTGTGTGGTAAGGATGTTTTTAATTTCCCAATACGGTTAGCACATTGTGTCTTTGTTCGTAGTTAATATTGTTAAGAGTTGTCCTTTTTTTTATTATTAAAACTTCCATTATTTTTATCTTTTTTTGCAGGGGATGCAGTTATATATATATATATATATATATATATATATATATATATATATATGAATGTATATATATGTGTATATATATGAATATATGTATATATATATATGAATGTATATATGTATATATATATGTATATATATATGTATGTATATATGTATATATATATGTATGTCTATATATGTCTATATATATATGTATGTATATATATAGGTATATATATATATTTATGTATATATATATATATATATATATATGCATATATTTATGTATATATATATATATATATATATATATATATATATATACAATAAAAAATTTGGGCTATTAAATTAATATTAAAATATTTAATGTGTAAAAGATCGGCATTGAATCTTTTGTAATTGTTTTTATACTTGTGAATCTATTGTGAATTGTGAAAACAACGTTTTATCTTCAAATCATAGTAAACATTGATACATCGATCCATCACTTCCTTTGTTTCCTTTTTTTCTCATTTATTTATCATTTGTCTTAATTTCACCACTGTTGACACCATGATGGGGACGTATATATATATATATATATATATATATATATATATATATATATATATATATATTGTTGTCTATATTACGCAAAAATGAAAATAACACTGTCATCTCATTTTAAAAGTTTATTTACCTACAATTTACACAAAAAATATCTTCAAATAGAGTAAATTTATTCAACAAAATCGCCACTGTCTTAACCATGGCCTCCATACGACTTCAGAATCTCTTATTCATGTTGGTTAATGTTGCCATAATCCTTGCCTTCATTTCATGTTTGGCGTTACAAGACGTTTTGTTGGACTCTTGCTCAACTGCAGCCCAACACATAATAATCATGGTGGTTGCACTTTGGGGAGTTAGGTGCCCAGATGTAACGGGTGATGTCACATGAATTGTCTGGCAGCTATGACTGGGTTCTCCTCCATGCGTAGCATGGTTCAGATTTCTGTTGCCACCCTCTTGACCCAGGGTAGCCCTACCCCCTTAAGGCAATTTATGTAGAGCTCCGTGTTGAGTCTGAGGCACTGTGGGAAGATGAATGGAATCATAACGTCGCCATCACTAGTGATAACCATGACACTCATCCAACTCTTTCCGAATCCTCTTCACTGTATTCAGGTTGACACCCAAACACCCTGAAATGGTCGCATAGGAGCTTCATGTCAAGCAGTACCACATGCCATTTTCAAATTTCTGAGTTGTGAATTACATCATGATGGTCCTTTTTTCGCAGATGGTGCCCAACTAAGACTCCTATATGGGCAGTCGGATAGAATAAAATAAAACAACCAGCATGCGCTAAATTAACAATATAATATGCCGACAAATTGCACATCGCAAACTGTGTATATACATATTTATACATATATACGATGTATTGTGCTTTGTGTTTCTTGACACTATACTCTCTGTCTCACTTTCAGTTTCTCGTCTCTCTCTCTCTTTATATATATATATATATATATATATATATATATATATATATATATATATACAGGCAGACTGAAGATTGCGTTCAAGCATAAAATAGACTGTCGCTATTCGGTGTTGACCTCAGTACCCACTTTTATATCTGCACATGCTCTACGCTGATATTGAGCACTTTTATCCATAATAATATCCTACCGTAATACACACACGCACACACACACGTGTGTGTGTGTGTGATTAAATGACAAAAGGGAAGGTGGGCGGTGGACATGTCAAGAAGAAAAGATAACAGATGAAATAAAATACTGCCAAATTGCTGAACAATGCCTAGTAAAGTTATTAGGAAGAGGATGGAGAAAAAATGGAGAGATTAAATAGCAGGATTTGCTTTTACTACAAGACAGTACACAAACAGCTCTTATGGAAGGACTTTTCAAAGGTGTTTCTTCTGTCGTAGACTTGCAATTAGCCATTTACCAAACAAACCCGCACACACATACACACATTATAAAGCGCTCTTTAATTTTTCATTATTAATATGTCTATGGTCTTTTACTTTGATGTATATACTTTTTTATTCAATTCTTTAACTTTGATACCTCTATGTTCTGAAAGCGATGTTTCGATGTATTAATAATACTTTAGGCAATTTCGTGAAATATGCATAATATAACAACATTTAGTGATGATAGCCAACTAATCAACGTAGAAGTTAGTATTAAGTAGCACGAAAACAGATTTGGTAATTTCATGCTTTAAGTTTTTATTGAATTTTTAGCCAATGATTGAATCTGGGAACATAACCTGTTTAGAGTTTCTCTTTAACTCACTGAAGTAATTTAAATGAACTATTAATAATTAAGCAAACATTATTGTCTATATGCCAAAATATTAAAATTACAGACTGGAATTTAGACTTTGACCAGTTTTACAGAAACAAACTTATACTGCCACATAAAAATTAAAATGTTCTATACGTCTGTGATTATACGAGGGTCGTATGAATTGTTTCTGATACACTTGCATGTCTTATACTCTACCAACTCGTCTGTCTGCTTACATTTATATCTTGATCAACCTATGAACTTTCAAGCCGACCTTTGTAAATTAAATGTCCATTTATAATTTATATCTGTGGTAATAAAATAAACACATCCAATCTCTTCTTTCGCAGGTAACCACCTACTATAATGCAATAAACGTTTTCAGTGCTAAAGCTGAATTAGTCGAACTACTAAGAGTCGTTGCTATATTACAATGTCTCAAAATGGTTCTCATTTTATAAAGCGAATGCCACAATAAAAAATCAAAAAAATCTATGTATTGTATAATTATGTCATATTTTTTAAGCGGAAGGTAAGAAATCTTCACGTTCCTACAAATTGAAGCTTTAATAAAATTACTTTTAAAACGAGCAATACAAATGAACAAGGTCGTCTATTTGTGTTTCGTAGAGTACACAAAATCATTTGATAAGGTAGAGCACAAAGATATCGTTATGTTTTGCATATCTCTCTACGTAGTAGTACTAGTCGTAGTACAGTTCTCCGTACCCTGAATAGCAACCGGGTTTGCTAAGAATAGACCCCACCTATGTTCATCTGTTGTTCTCTGTTTATACTTGTCTATCTAATTTGCATACGATACTACAGATCTATTTCAACTTCTCTGAAAACTTGTTTCATTTGCGAAACATTAGAAAAGTTTGGGATATATACCGAGAGCAAAGAAAATGAATTGATTAACTCTACAAAATTAGAAAAAGAGAGCAAGACAAGGATGCGTCATCTCAATAGATTTATTCGGCCTATACAGTGAGGTGATCTTAAGGGAAGTAGAAGTCCTACTAGCATTTATTAATGGTGGACATAGATTTAATAATACAAGATAGATAGATGAGACAATGTTGATGGCAGACTCAGAAACAAAACTGTAGAAACTCCTAGACAAGGTAGTAAAGGAAAATGGGACGAAACGACTAGCTGTCAATTGTAAGTCAATGTATTGTTGTTAGCAAGAGGCAAACCATAAATTGGAGATGTCAAAATCAATGAAGTACATAGACTTTAATAGATGAAGAGTTTTAACAGAGTACGCAACGTATAAGAAGAAATCCAAAGGCGAACTGGAATAGCAAAAAGGATTAAAGTACAGAAAAATTGAACTAAAAACAAAGAAAATTTGCTGAACTGATATTTAATATCAATCTTTCTATATGGCAGTGAAATCTGGACAATTTTCTCAGTGATCAAGAGGAGTCGAGGTAACAGATATATGATACTATAGATTGATTGATTATTTACGGCTTATTAACTTTTTGCAGGTTATTTAAAAACAAATATATTTTTAGATTGTAAAAATTGTTTTTTTTCTCTTTAGATAACAATGCTTTTTACCGATCCAAGTTCATCTAGTTAACACATATCTAGGGGAGAACAGGTGGATTCCTATCTTTCCCAAGAGCATTTTTGTGTAAATGAATGTAACAAATACGACTGGAATTGGAACTTGGCCATCAGATTTCCAATTCCCAGCCGATATCGATTACACCAACGGCCCATCAAAATTTACAGCACCTTGTATTTCCAGGTGCTCTCACATCTCGGTACTGACCAAGCTCAACGTTGCTTAACTTCAGTGATCGTACGAGAATCGGTGTTTCAACGTGATATGGCTGTAAGCCTGTGGTTCTACAGAAGGATGCTGAGAATATCGTGGACGGAAGATGTAAGCAACGATGAAGTTTTAAAGAAAATGCAAGCGAATAATACTTATGTTTAGAATCAGAAAAGAAAAAAAATGAATTTATTAGGCTCCTAATATAGAAAGAAGGCTTGGAGAATTTAATGGTTCATACGGTATGTAAGAACGCAGAGGGAAACAATGAATAACTTAGCTAACCATCTGATGTAAATAGATGGCAGGACAGGATGTAGTAGGGACAGTAAAAAGACAGAGCTATAAATGATAGGATGTTTTAGATAGCCATGGTTCCGTATGTCCTAAAGGAACATAGCACATAAAAGAAACTGATCAGAGGCTATTTAAGGCACTAGAAGTGAGAATATATCACCAACTCTTTAAACTCTAATATTTTCCATTAAATCAATGTGTAATGGTAATGTTAATATTAGACATTTCCTTATACGGAAATATTCGGCAAGCATTGACCGAACATCCAGTGCGTTCGTTAGTTTAAATTTCTAGAATATTTCTCTTAAAACAAGTTTTCGTAAAAATAGGTTTCTGAAGTCCATTATCTGCTATTGTTAAAATTAATATGTGCTTGTTTACCAGGCGACCGAGCGACGGCGAAATTGCAAAAAAATCCAGGAAAAAAAAAGAACACAGGAGACTAGAAACGATGCTCTCGTTAGCTATAAAAGACGCCACCTGTTGGCAATGGCGGGAAAGAGTGTTGTGTGTAACGGAGGAGGTGGGCGGATCTACTCAATGGGTATTGTGTCTGTTGGAGCCTAGACTTTTTGTAAACTTTACGGTTAACTGCGTCTACTTGGCGATAAGCCGCAACAACATACTTTGTAGTAACTTTACACTACAAGCTGCATACAGTCGCTATCGTCAATTGGGTAACCCCCTGTTACTAATAGTGGAAATGAAAACGCAACACCATCGCTCTTTCCGCTAATGATGGGGACTCCTTTGTAACTTTTAAGTATTAAACGAAATTACGTTATATCATTATTTTGTCTTTGAGTTTAACATATCCATCTTAATCGTTGATGTTGAAAGTCCTCAAGCGATGTGGTTTTTGCAGTTTGATACAGTTCTTTGTTTGGGATTATATAGCGCCAGTCCACAAGGTTCGAAGAAGGATTTTCATCGCTTTCTATATGAAAGACCTTCATCAGCAGAAATTAAATCTCTGGATTGGGCAATGCTCCTTTAATAGTTGTTGATACACTTCATCAGTAGTGGAGTGATATTTTTGGTTCTTTTTCTTTTTGACATAAAGTGTATTTCAACAAAGTTTTCTGTAAAAAGTTATCTACTAATACATTAGGAAAGAAGATGTATGGAGAGCTATCGATCTTTGATGATGATTAGACATGTCTTCCTATATGTCTTCGTTAGTATATATAGTCTTCATCAGTAAGCTGTTAGTATGTTATACGCAAATAGACCCAAGAAAATCTGCTAGGACTTAATGATATTAGATCACAAGATGGCCTTTGGTGTGGTGGCACTTTAGTAACGGGCAGTAAAATAATTGTATTTGGTGTCAGAGTCAATTAAGAGTCTGCAGCTTGGAAATTATTTAGTATCAGCGTTACGCTGCGAGCAGTCGGTTACGAGTCAGTCGAGAGAGATAGAAATATGCGAGGAGACTAAAATGAATTCTTGTTGTCATTTAGTCTATAATTGTAAAATATACACTACAACTGTCATTGTCATTGCTCGTGAATCTTAACATTGGAAGAATAGGAATAATTATTGAATCAATAGGCTTTTACATTTATTCCTTTCATCGGATGTTCACACATGTTATGTACATTTTAAGTAAGTTACACGTTATTTTCCCCGAAAATGTTGATGTGGCTCGGCATAAGAATCGCTCGTTCAAGCTGAAATATTAAGATTCAATATAGGAAAATAGAATGCATAGTTGTTAGCAAAAGAGGCAACCAAACATATTGGAGGCGTTAAAGTCAAGAAATTACCGTGATTTAAGTATTTGCTTATTATAGTAACAAGGTACGGTTGAGTAATGAAGAATCGGAGAGCCGAGTTCGAATTCCAGTCTAATCCATTACATTCACTTACGTGCTAATGCTCTTGGGAAAGGTATGAATCCTCTTCTTCCCCCACTAGCTATGGGTAAACAGCAGGACAGATTTGGTTCTATACCGCAGAAATGGCAACCTAGTGCGGGAAAATGCGCCTCGTCAGTCATGTATCGAAAGATAGATGATCGCCTAAGCGTGTATCACGCATATCACATAACTGACTGATAGTAACAAACGATGGAAATGACTCAGAAATCCGAAGAATCATAGAAATAGTGAGAGATGCCTTCCAGAAATTAATGTAATGAAGTGGTTGTACCGATAAAATGATGACGCGAGGCTTTAATTATCTTTGCTTAACAATTTATTCATTTCACTATTCCGTCAGTTACTCTCAGCAAACATGAAGCGGTCCTTATATACCCCACAATCCAATACTGTGTCGCTTGTGGTGCGTGAGAGGCTGCCCATTTTTAATATATCAATCTGTCCGACATTCTCGTTCTCACGTTTGCAATAGCGGATTTAAGTGTGAGGTTACGTACTTCTTCATTCGGTGGCAGAGATTAAACACAAATCAGCTTTGTTACTTGCTTACTTTTGTGGCATTGTTTGAAATTTGGATGCAATGTCGATTCCGGCATAATACTACAATAAATAAAGTATTTAGATATAGTGAAATTTCGTTAGGCAAAAAGAAAAGCGTGTTGAATTGATGCGTAATGTCTAATCTCTTATATGTCAGCCACTCTATTCATGCATGTAGGAGAGACTTCAAGCTACGTGGTTCTACCGACGAATGCTGAAAATATGATGGAGAGAATATGTGAGCAAGGAGGGCGTCTTAAGGAAAATAAGAACTGCAAGGAAAATTATACTTACAATCAGAATGAGACAGTTGAAATAATCGGGACACATAATGGGGAAAGATGGCCTATAGGAATGAATACTCACAGGACATATTGAAAGAAAGAAAAACTAATTTGTATTTGAATAAAGACGAAGAAAACTTATCTTAGCCGACGTGTTTCGTCCTCCGAGGGACGTTATTAATCTAAATGCAAGGATTTTATTTTGTAACAAGTATTTACATAAACATGAAAAATGTTATTGGTTTCTCAAAATTTTTAAATAAATACTCATAAATATTCATCGGGTTAATCGATATATGAAAAACATGTGCAAAAAGGGATAGTAAAGGGATAAAAATCATTTAGGGCAACAGAAGACTGGAAGTTGTGGAGAGCTATGATCACCTATGTCATAAAGGGAGACGGCATGCAAAATAATCATATATTATAATATGTAAATAAAACGAAAAAAATATAAAATTAAAGTTACTTTGAACTTTACTGGAAAAAAAAAAAAGAAAACGTTTTTATTTCTTTCGGTCGAACGCGTTTTCCTTCGATTTTATGCGTAAATAGTGTTACCATTAGATCAAATCTTTCTTAAAATATATTTTATAATTACTCTCATGCAAAAAAGGTAAGGAGGCATCAAGAAAAAAATATGAAAGCAATTCAGAAATTAAATCGAGCCTGAAGGATATAATATCCAAATTTAAAAAAAAAAAAAAAAGAAAAAAAAAAGCAGTTAATTTTTAAAAATATAACGAACGCTTCACTCTCCTTGGAAAATCAATACAGACAAAAGTGCCGGCCTTAAGCTAAAGGGAAATTAACTGATTATAACTTAATTTTAATATATATTTCTTATTCTCTCGTGAAAAGTAATGCTGATATTCTTGAATTGAAAAGGAGCATATGCCATCGCTAATATACCAGGCTTTTATTAACATTTTTAACATCGAATACGCAGTACGTAGTTTTAAAAAAAATACATAGAATCTATTTAAATAATTTTACATATAAGTATATGAAGAGATAGAGATTTTCAGCAAAAAAACATTTTGTGCAGATGAACCAGTGTTAATAGTAGAAACATAAAGGAAATTAGAGAACTCTCATAGAAGGTAGTAAAAAAAAAAAAAGCAGAAGAAATTGTAAAACATTGTAAGAAGACATAATATAGACATGTCAGCAAAAGAAACCGTCCAGTATGCGCAGTACAGTTTGGAGACACTGAAATCAAGCAAGGACAAAGATTTAAATATATAAGAAGTTTGTTTTTTTTTAACAGAGGATATAAAAACGTAATACTGAAACCCGAAGGCGCATTGAAATAGCGAATGATACCTTCCAAAATCTGAGCAAATCATTAAGAAAATTACGTTAGAAAAAGTAGTGAATTCTTATGTAATATCGGTGCTCTTATATGACAGTAAAGGCTGGAGAATCTGTCACAGATTAAGGAGAGATTTGAAGCAACAGAAATAGGTTTCTACTGGTTGACTATAAAGGAGTTATGTTCGAGTTGTGAAATCTCGCACGCATTAATTTCAATTCTTCTTATTAATAACTACATTGTTTCCTTCCAGGTAAACTGATATCTGACTCTTCAAAAAAGACTCCAAAAGGAACTAGTAGAGAATACTCTTGAAAATGGTCAAAATTTGGCATTGTAGTGTTATCAAGTACCTCCATAAAAAAGTTTTGGTTTGGCGCCTAAAACTGAATATATCTTGTAAATTTATATATAAACTATTCGCCCGTTTATTGAATATTTCTGCCACGTCTGGTCTGATTCTTCTGATTTGTGTCTAGGGATTCTTGACAAAATCCAAAGAAGAATCTGCAAAGTTATCAATCTTGACCTGATATCTCGGCTTCAGTCAGTTTCTCACTGCCGTAACGTAGCTTCCATTTGTCTCTTCTACAAACATTGTCATGGTAACTGTTCTGATGAGATTGGTAACTTGACTTTAAGCGTATAACTAAGTTGCCAATTAGTTTTCATAATTTTACTGATCAAATTGTTACTTGCAACCATAAGTTCTATGTTAATATTTTCTTTCTCGCCTGTGAAATTC